AATATTCAGTGATGGCATGCATCTTATGAAACATCCTTTGGTTCAACTGCTATGCAAAAGTTCAACCCAACTGAATCGGAATGAGGCTCAGATTGCTAGGCCTAGGTGGCAATGAACAAATAACTGAAGGGGTTGATCATCCTGAACATGGTGGGGACACAAACAAGGTCAAAAGGCTCAACAACAGAGAGGATTGTTGAATGAAAGGTTGGGAGGGTAATGGAAGAGCACTCAAAGCTAGTTATAGGGTGACCAAGCCCCCAACTTATGATTTTTTAACTCACATATCAAATACATGCACAACCACAAAAACAAGTTAGCTATTTAGCCAGACTAATCAACCTAGAGCAGGAGATTGTCATGCTGAAGCTGTCAGTTGCCTTCTTCCATCTGGAGCTCGTGGATCTAAGGGAGAATTTTTTTTCTATCTTAAGCTTGGGCTGAATATGGCTGCTTGAGGCAGTTTAAGTTTAGAGGTGTGTTCATCCTTAGGAGACTCATTTGACTAGGTCATCTCTTGGTTGAGACTATGTTAGGCACCTGTTTGATCTTTTTTATTTCTTCTAATTAATGTAATTATTAATGTTTGAATTCTTACAATAAATTTTCATAAATTTTGTGCTAGAATTCTCATGTGAAAAAGATTTGATATTGTCGATTTTGCTTCTTATGCTTTTGATTTTTCATATTTTTTTTCTATTTTACACCCATTTTTTTTGGCATTTACGACTTCTTCTCACCTTATGAAAGATCTTTTGATCACAGCGATATTATTCCTTTTTCATTACCTTTTGGTGTTTCTTTCAATTTTAAACCAATCATGTTTTTTTCGCTCTCTTCTCCCACTTGCAACAACCCTATGAATTTCGTTGAGGTGGACCCGCCTGCATCATTGATGATGGATCAGGAGCAGTTTGACTATCATCAGACAGCTTGTCTTCACCCCATCCATTTGATTGAGAGTCGCCAAAAGGGGTGAAAGGCAAACACATTTTCTGCCAACTAGTTGTTATTTTATAAGAACCAATTATAGTTCGACCTTAGACCGCCCCTTTGTAATGAAATGATTAGCATTTTTTGGTTATATGGGATTTTTTTTGGCACATGTAATGCCAAATTTGATCATCATAATCATGATTGTAGTGTGTTTATGCGACAAATGAACATCCAATGATGAATTGAACTCTTTAGCTATATGTTTTCCCGACGCTTCTATCTGATAGGATTTGTTCCAGTTACCTCAAGGAGTTAGATTCACTTCCAATGCTTGGAGAAGAAGTGAAGGATATAAATAACAAGTTTTATCTCACTTTGATGGAGGGGGTTTGGCTGATTTGGGACACGCCCCGCTTATACAACTATGATAGCTAAATCGAAGCCTCCTTATAATCTTTTGCAGCAAGCCTACCAAGTCATGGGTATAAATCTCAGTGTGCCTAAGTATATTGACACTCAAGTTGTTAGTAAGGTGCTCGCTCCAGACAAAACGTGGCATCATGATTGAGGATGATTGAGTGTTTGTGGATGCCATTCAAGAAAATTTGGATGAGGCTCTGGCCAAGGAGGGTTGATACGAGAGGCTAAGTATAAGTAAATATATACAATTGATTTCTCATTTTACTATTATTATTCAAAAAGTGGGGATTGATGAGTTGATTCTTATCAAGAGGAGGGGGTATGTTAAAATGCTTGTGAGTAATTATGTTTCTCTTACAGATGTTCCATCCATTAGTGGTGATGAAAAAGGGGCGACTGGTAAAGGTAAGATAGGAAGTGATGGGTCAACATGTGGAATAGAGTCGAGTTTAGTGATGGAGGATATTAGTGTTGTTGTGGTTGCCCCATTGGCTCTGAAACCGATCAGAGCCCTACCTCCCCCGTCACAAATGATCAATCTCAAGAGAGTTCTGTGACCAGGTGGGCTCTCCTTGATGGCGAATATGGTCTTTCGAGTGAGGAGGAGCGGGTAGGTGTCATGAGGTGAAGTGCAAGAGGAAGAGGCAGGTGCCACTTGTGAGGGAGCAATATCTTAAGTGAACGGAGTATGCCATTTGTAAGAGGCCCCAATTGAAATGGCTCCCAAGAAGAGAGGGGAGATAATGCGACTGAGCGGGGGCAAGCATTACACCTAGTTGTTCTGTAAAAAAATTGGAACTCTGTGAGTCCTCACACTGTTTGATATTCCTAGTATGTGCGGGACCATATTCTCTCCCTCTATGTCCACCTCCTTTGACTGAATGGATTGTAAACTTGAAAAAGCGACGTGGTCGGACGGGTCATGTTCCCTCAATAAGACCATAGAGTTGGGATCTTATGGCTCTCGGGTGCCTCAACTTCAAAGATCTGTCTGAAATAAGTGTTCTCTGGTGGAGTAGGGCATACAGTATTTATGCGTCATTGCCTATTGCGGACCAGTGGAGTTAGCCCTGTGCTGTTGGGATAGTATGTGTCATCGCTCACACTTAATTTGGTGATAGGGCTCTCTCAGCATTGACGCCAAGTCTCCATTGTTGCACGAGAACTACCCGTTAGAATGGCGAAACCACCTTTTGAGTGAGCGTCTCTCTAATCATTTCCATCATATGTTATTTGAGCTCTTGGATCTCTTGTGCTACAAAATCTCAGATGCATTCCATGTTTCATGTGATTTCGTGGTGACTTTCTTCTCCTTGTGTTTCTTCTCTTTTTATTTGTAGCATATTCCATGCTCATCACACTCTTTAGATTGTTGAACACAAATTTGTCCTTGAATTAAACCCAAGAAATATAGCGTAAATAAAGAACGAAAAAAAATATATATTTTGAGGAATGAGAATAGGGGAACCATATGAGAGAGATCAGAGAAATATTCTTGTATTCGGGATTATTCCTCCTTAAAAAAAGGATTCTAAAAATGGTTCCTTATTACAATTAATTTTTTGTATTTATAGTGGTTGTGACTTCCCTTAAAAGACTTATTTGGGCTTATCTGGCCCAAAACCTTGAGATTTAGGTCCTTCATATTTTTGTTATCATAACGTGGGATCTTCAAAGGAGTCAACCCCTAATTAAGTTGCTGACATGCGAAGGCAAGTCATCCGGCCTTAAACGACTATCTCCTAGCATTCGACTGCATGTGTATGTCTGCTTGATCATCTATATATATTCGTCTTCGGTCATTCAACCATCATTCACATGGCCCCGGTCACTCATCCTCGGGCGCTCGACCTTGGCAGACTAGCCTTGAGTGCTCTGCCTTGGTCACCTAATCTCGAGCACTTTGCCTTGATCATTAGGCCTCAATTACTTGGCCTTATATGCTTTGTTTTCCCGACTTGTAATTGTGTTTGATAGCTCAATCTATTGTCTTAACTCATTTGAGATGACCACTAGTTGATGTGATGTGAGCTGTATGATTCTCAATGATCTGAATCGTTTGATATATGATGACCTGGACAATTGCTTTACAGATGTACAATAACATAAACGATTTTGTTTCAATTTCCTAAATTACTTGCAAAACATTAAACAAACTAATCGTTGAAATTTACGTAAATAGCACCAAATTCTTGCACATTTACTTGTCTCACACCCCAAACTTTAATTTTTACAAGCTAAGCATCTTTTCCTATGCTTGAAAAAAATATATGAAAAGGTGAATTATACTTTTTGTATAGGTAGTGTGTTTTGGTTGTAAAATTTAAAATTTAGACGTTAAATAAATAAATACATAAGATTGAGTGCTATGTATGTAAATTCCCCCAACTAATTTTAACTTCTCAGCTCTAAATTTTCATCTCTATATCACTCCAGCGCGTATTTAAAAAAAATATTAATAAAAAAAACAACCAAAGACCTTGCATAGGAGGAATAAATATTACGTCCGGAGTTTAATGAAATCACATCATGTAGAGGTGACAGAAAAATAAAAGAAAATTTTATTTTAGCTCAAGGGAATATTCCTCCCGTGTTATTTCACGTTATTCAGGTGTTATTGAGGTGATATTCATGTATTATTGTTTTCTAGGAATATTCCTGATGTTATAATAACATAATAACATATCAATACCACCACAATAACACCTGAATAACACGGAATGACATAGGAGAAATATTCCCCTGTATTACTAGGCCGGATCACAAGAAAATGAGTTTTTTTTTTTTCCTGTGAGCTCGACGTTGAAATGATTCATTGTACTCCGGACGTATCTCTAAGTCCGGAGTCGGGAAGTAATAATTTTTTGCCTAGGAGTCGCTTTGGCGGCCACATGTGCGACACTTGGCGAAACTAGTCATTATCTCAAATTTTATGTATTTATTTATTTTTAGCAAATTGATTGGGATGAAATGGGGGCATTCTCTACTAATTCATGTGCATTAATATACGTAACATCTAACTTTTATTCTTTACATTTATACTTCTAACTTCCAAAATTTACATACATACCCCTCAATTTTTATGTATTTACATATCTAACACCTAAACTTATATTGTACATACCATCTTACCCGTGCATGAAAAGACATTTGAAAATTAAAACAATTATATTTTTGTTGTGATAATAAAGATTTGAGTGGTATAAATATAAAAAAAAAATAGAGCGATTATTGCGTGCGGAGAACCCACGCAGAACTGCGTGCCCTCTCGATCGCAGCAACATATTTGCCTGTATGACAGCGGGTCCCACAGTCATACATGAGAAGTACAAAAAATAAAGTTTAGATGCTAAATATGTAAATACATTGAAATTTGGTGGCATGTATGTAAGCGCCACCTTTACTCGTTGAAATACACTATCTCATGCATAAGTTATGTTAGGTAATATAGCTTGTATGTAAAAATTAAAATTTAGATGTCAGATATGTAAATACATAAGATTTAAGTGATATATATGCAACTATTTTAGAGCATAAAATAATTTGCTGATTAATTACAGCATGGCTACAACATGGCTGAGAGTGCTTCTAGCATAAGCACTGATGTCATCACTTTGTCTTACTGTAAATTGTTCTTTCTTATCTTCTACATAATACTCTCTGTAGTCTCCCTCTCTCTGAAGCCATGGAGGAAGTAGTAATCATTGGAGCAGGAATCGCCGGGCTTGCAACGGCCCTCGGTCTCCACCGGTGAGTTTTTCGCCTGTGCTCTTTTAATTAGATTTTGAGTATGAAACATATTACGTTCGGACGGTCAAATACCGGTCATCACGTTGCCTGTCGATGAGGTGTATCCATCTGGATGTGCAGTGTCCAGACGAAATATTTTCTCCTTTCTAAGTAGTTAATTTTGAAATAGTGTTGCATGCTATTGTAATTGCCCCGCTACTAATACACCTTTTTTTTGTTTTAAGTTTAATTCAGGGACTAATGTTATATGTAAGTTGTCTTAAAATGTTGATTGAGTGCTTATAATTTCAACTAAAAGGGCAAATGTTGCCTGTATGTGTTTGATATTAAAGTTTTCCAATTGTCTTAAAAGAGGTTTTTGATATAGTGATGTCGTAGTAGTTGTTAAGTATATGACATGTCACAACATAGACATAATAAGAATATTTAACTTATTAGAACACTCACAATAAGAAAATTGTGCTAATAGCTAAATCATAACTTTAATGAAAAGATATTTGAACAAAATCAAATAGTAAAAGGGTAAAAATCTAAATAATTAATACTAAAAATAATTGATTTGAATTTAAATTCTTAGTCATGCTCCTTGAAGTTGTGTGTTTATATCATGATAGCAACCCAGGGGTCTTCGGTGAACTGGTTAAGAACTATAGATTCGAGGCTCAAAAGGTTGTTCATATAAAGCCCAAAAGTCACCCGTTCATGCTTTCACAGTTGCTCAACAGAGCTCAAATTGCACTTACCTAGCTCAGAAGACTTAAGTTCCGTTTGAGGCAGCTTATTTGGTGCGGTGACGTTTTGAAATCACACTTGGCCTGTTTGGGTAAAACGCGTTTTGACAGCTTATGCGTTTTGATAATGCTGAAAGTAGCATTTTCAAACCGCGTCTAGATATGTGCGGTGACAGCTTTCTGGCAGCGGTCTGACTTTTCCAAATAAATATAAATTTGTAATAGTCACTGCATCTAGCTTATCAACATATTATTCAATAAGCTACAGCCGCCCCAAGCAGACCCTTAAATTTAGAAGACATTAGTCTTATTCAAGAGAAATTATTCTATACGGAAAACACATGCAAAAATGCATGAGTTGCCCGATTTATACCATTCTTCACCATAAATGTGTATTTTGATGAGTCCTATTTTTATTTTTTTATTTTTTTTAAGTACCCACCCAAATATATCTTAGGGGTGAACAATTGAGACCGGACACCACACAAATTTAAGAGATTGCTTATCCAGTGCATACGACTCATTTGAGTTCGCCGGAGTTGATAACTCAACGATGGCGGCGGCAGATTTCCTGTTCCGGGAGTCTCTCCGGCTAAAGCCCCCTGCTTAATAAATGCTGAAAAACTACTGTAGGAGCGACTTCGCCGAGCAGGAGTGGAAATGAAGATAGGGAATTTGCCGCTGCCGCGGTTGTGGAGTTCTCAACTCCGGTGAACTCAAAGATGCCGAAGCGGAGAAAGTGACACGAGGGAGAGAGAATCCCTTTATCTATAAATATCGAAGAAGTTTAGGTGGGAGATATTTAAATTCTTTGAAGTGCCACATATTAAAACCCTTTTTTTCTTAACTCGATCCTCGTGATCCGCTTGCGCAGAAAAGGGATAAGAACCTTGGTCCTGGAATCTTCCGATTCGCTCAGGGCTTCCGGCTTCGCTCTCACCATATGGGCCAACGCCTGGAAAGCCCTCGATGTCCTGGGTGTCGCCGACTCGCTGCGCCAAACCCATCTCCCCCTCCAACGGTAACCTTATCATCCCAAACCCTAGCAATCGACAACTCCTCACCTCGCCATCATTATCGTCCATTTCTGATATAATCTTACAATTTTTGCACAGAATCGTTGCAAACTCTGCCTCTTCTGGAGGCATGACTGCTCAGATCCTCTTTTCAGCTCAGGGGAAAAGGTAAGTTTTTGGTTTTAATAGCTTCTGGTAACTATGTTTTGATAAGAAATAGATCATAGTGATGATGATTGGGGCTTTGGTTTGTTGCAGGGGAGAACTGGAAGTGCGTTGCTTGAGGAGAAGCTTGCTTCTTGAGGCTTTGGCAAGGGAACTGCCTCCAGGCACAATAAGGTACTGCTCCAAAGTGATTGGAATCGAAGAGGATGGCTACTTGAAGCTCCTGCACTTAGCTGATGGATCTTCTCTCAAAACTAAGGTGATGTTCTGTGTGCTCACGTGTGTAAGAAAAATGACTTATTGTTTTGTTTGGGCAGCTTGATTTAAAGAGTATTATGTTTAATCTCAGGGCAAGTAGCTTTTGAATGCTGTTAGGTGCCATATGCATGAAACTAATAGAGCCTAATGAAGAATTAGATGATGATAAAATACTACCTTCAGAAGATTTATGTGTAGAGATTAGTAGAGAGGATTATGATGTGTCAGGATTTATATATATGTATATATGTATGTATGCAAATAATTCAAAAACTAAACTTATTCAGATTTGACATTACTTCATTCGAGATGATGTAGTTCGAGGTGATGTTTTGATTTATTTTGTGAGTACTGTCCATCATTTATTTGATAAATCCATCAAACTCTTAACTTAGGGTCATTTTTTGGGCTTTTAGGAGACATCTAGGTATTCTTGTTCCAGCATTAGTCTCAAATGGATCATAATGTGTTATACTATATATAACAAATGTACAAGGTAAAAAATAGACTTATTCCAAACTTGTTTGGCTCAAATTCAAGATGATTTGTAATTAAATCAGATGAATTCAAGCCAGGCAAAACTTGCTTTTGTTAAGTTCACAAGTAACTTATTATTAAATTTCATGTAGGTCTTATTGGGATGTGATGGTGTGAACTCAGTGGTATCAAAATGGCTAGGACTTAGCAAGCCTACCTTTTCCAAACGCTTAGCCACTAGAGGCTTTGCTGTGCTTCCTCAAGGGCATGGCTTCAAGCATGAGTTCTTGCAATACTCTGGAGAAGGCTTTCGATCAGGGTTTTTGACTTGTGATGAAAGAAACATTTATTGGTTCTTCACCTGGACTCCCACTGATCATGGTAAGCTAGAATAATGAATTTATTTTCTCTAAATATAAAGTGGTTTGAGATTAATCATTTTGTTAACATTGTTAGTACCTATATCTAAGTTATTTGTATTAAAATTTATGACATAATGCTTATTTTATTGGACTTGGTTTCCAGTAGGATTAGGATGCCCCAAACTGCTTCATATGGGTTTGATTAAAATAAAAAAAGCTTAAGCTAATTTGTAAGAAAGATTCGTTGATGAACTTTTTATTTGAATGTAAGTTGCTTCTATTAGGTCTTTCAGATTTTTGTGACCTTTCGAGAATTTTTGATCTTAGGTTCCTCTTAGGTAATTTTGAGCCTTGTTAGGAGCATTTGGACCCGAGTGGGCCCCCTTTAGATGTGTCTCCTTTAGGCTCAAAATTCTTTTATGGCTAAATAGATATCGGCTCAGCATTCTTTTGATAAGGGTTTTTTTGACTTGGATTGAAAGAAACATTTATTGGTTCTTCACCTGGACTCCCACTAATCATGGAAAGCCAGTATAATGAATTTATTTTCTCCTCATATTAGTGGTTAGAGATTAATTTTTTTGTTAACATTGTTAGTGCCCATATCTAAATTATTTGTATTCAAATTTATGACACAATGTTTATTTGTTTGGACTCGGTTTCCAGTAGGATTAGGATGCCTCAAACTGATTCATCTTGGTCTGATTAAAATAAAAAAGCATTAGTTAATTTTTAAAAAAGTTTCTTTGATGAACTTTCTATTTGAATTTAAGTTATTTTTGTTAGTTCTTTCAGCTTTTTGTGACCTTTTGAGGCTCTTTTATCTTAGGTTCCTCTAACGTAATTTTGAGCCTTACTAGGACCGTCTGGATTTGAATGGCTCCATTTACTTTATTATTATTATTTTTATTAGGTGATTTGAAGAGCTCTCGTTGGATAGAAAAGAGGTGGAGGAGCATATAAGGTTGGGCAATGGCCTGGCTGGGAAGGAATGGGAAGGGTTTTTTTATTTTATAAATTCTAATCTATGTCTTGATTTGCTTGTTAGTCGGTCATGTCCGAATGCTTAATAATATGGGTGTCCTTCTTGGGAAAATTCTACATTTGGGATGTGCTCGTGCAGTTCATTTTGCGATCAGATATCGTCTGAGAGAATTTATTGATGGTCGGGATGATATGGGCCTGAATTATATGTTTCGTGACGGTTGCTTTCCGTTTTCGTCTTGTTTGGTTATTTTGATCGTAGAAGGTCTCTTCTTAGATAATTTTGGTATTCTACACTCACTCGTGTAGTCCATTTTATAATTGGACTTCGTTTGAACTATTTTCAAAAATGGTTGAGGTGATTCAAATTTGATTCACGCTCGCCGCATTAGTGATTCATCTTTTTCTCCGTAGTTTCTCCATTCGATCCTAAACGGATACTCTTTATGCAACTTCAATCCTTTTAATAGAATGCTATAGTATTCATCGTTTGCTTGTTACCCTTATGTCCAATCGATTCTTCTTGTGAAATATATATATGATTGTCAACATCGCCATGCCACCCAAATTTCGTGGTTGGTTCATAAGTCTTCTTGTGTATCTACCTGGTAGATGGAAAAATAGTCTCGTATACCCCTTTTTTTTCATTAGACTTAGGAGGGTACTTATTCCGTGTTGTGGTGATTCCCATTATCACATCAAGACATTTACCTCCAATAGGATATTATGAGTTCAATATATGCATTTTTCCTCTAATTGTTAAGGAAATGTAAGCCCTATCTCATGGATCAACTCCGTTAGTTCCACCAACTGTGTTTAGGGGTGTAAACGAACCGAACACGAACGAACAAAGCTTGTGTTCGTGTTCGGTTCATTTAAAATTTAGTTTGTTTGAAATAAGCTCGTGTTCGTTTCTTAACGAACGAGCCGAACACGAACCGAACACGAGCTGTTCGCGAACAACGGGCCAGTTTGACATCCCTAATATTAATATATAAAAATAATATTATATATTAATTATATAACTTATATTATATAAATATACAATATCTATATTAGTATATTACTACTATAGTATATTAATATATTATTATTATTATTTTATCATATATTATAATTTATAAAATTTAATGTTTTAGAATATAATAAATTTTTTATATATAATTATTTTATATTATTTTATATTTCAAACAATAACGATTCGAACACGAACGAACGCATCACTGTTCGTGTTTGGTTCGTTTAACTAACCGAACGAAAAAAATTTGTTCGCGTTTGTCTCGTTTACTTATCGAACGAATCGAACACGAACTCATTGACGAACCGAACACGAACTGTTCGCGAACAACGAGCTTTTTTGACAGCCCTAACTGTGTTAGAATTGATCCCTCTCTCGTTTGAACAATCCCTTAATTGTAAGTTATGCACTTTTGACCTCTTTGGTGCAGTAGATTTTTTTTTCATTCTCCTTCTGGTAAGTCTCTAAAATGGTAAGACCTTGTTACACTCTCCAACATTCTTGTCATGGTCAGTCTAATCGCATTTTGCTGCATCTTTGCATGTTATGTTGCTTTATCTCGCATGCAACTTGTGTTTGATTGCGCCTTTGCATCTGAGACTCTTGCTATGATTTCAACTTGGAAACACCTTTTATGTTGAATTTGAGATATGAAATAACATCTTTAATCCGAGTAAAACATATGCATTTTTCATCTAATTGTTGATAAAATTTAAGTCTTATCTCCCTGGATCACTTCCGTCAATCTGTCTTCTTTTTGAGCAGTCTCATGAGTTAATTTTGGAGAATTTCTACTAGTTTGTTGTAATAATTAAAAATTCAAAAATTATAAAAAAGCCTACAAATTAACTTCAACGCTTTGAACTGTGACTCAGCGAAGGAAGCGGGAGTCATGCGCTTCGCTTTGCTTTACTCGTGAAGCACACTTCTAAAAACATTATCTTGCACCTTATAACTATTTCAAACACTGTCCCATATAAGATTGCAATGTAACAGCGGGCCAATGCGAGTTCTTTTTATGACAACATGTGATGCTTCTAACAACTTCTAGGTCAGAACACTTCCCACACAAGTTAGTGTCATTTAATACATAAATATCTCTTGTAATACTCATAATCTGTGTAGAACACAATTTTCAAGCAAACCGAGGGTTAATTTGTAAATTGGACACTTTAGGAGCAATTTTTTCCTTAATTTTAGCGGCATATGCTGACCGATCTTTTCATTGATCATGCCATGTCGGCTTGACATATATTTATATTTTCTTTAATTTAAGAAAAAATAAATAGTTGAACTCATAGATTGCAAAGTCCTCTCTTCTCCATTCCACAGACAAAGAAGCTGAAGAAAATGCTAGCAAGATGAAACAGTTAATTTTGAGTAAAATGCGCAAATCAAAGCTGCCCGAGAAAATCATCGAAGTCATAGAGAAAAGTGAAATGAGTGAACCAGTCTCTTCTCCACTGAGATACAGATGGCCTTTTGATTTACTCATTGGAAATATCAGCAAAGGCAATGTTTCTGTTGCTGGAGATGCACTTCACCCAATGACCCCTGATATTGGCCAAGGAGGATGCTCTGCACTCGAAGACGCCATTGTTCTTGCTCGAAGCTTGGGTGAAGCTATTCTTGCAGGAAAGCTTTGCAAGACTGAGGAAGAAGAGTATATGATCATTGACAAGAGTTTGGAGAAGTATGCGAAGGAGAGGAGATGGAGGAGCTTTGACCTTATTGCTACTGCTTATCTTGTTGGTTTAATGCAGCAGAACGAAGGAGCTGTTATGAGATTTTTAAGGGATAAGTGCTTGGCTGGGATTTTGGCAAGGTTGCTTCTTAAGAAAACTGAGTTTGATTGTGGGAAAATATGAAAACTCTTCATGCGGTATTTTTAAAGTTTTGGGAGGTAAATATTTGTATATTGGTGAAATGTGTTTGAGGATTTCATGTTATGCTGTTTGGTTGTGGAATTTTCAATGGACGCTATTAAATTTTTTTTCCTTCATCATTTCTTGATGATTTTTTTCCCCTTTCTGATGTTTACTTTAGATTTTTGTATCATAATACCGGTTATTTCCTGGATTTTAAACTCCAAACCTGTTGACGAACGACTTTCAACACTCATTTATGATATCAGTCTTAGATGCCTTTTGTAGATTTATATAAAATTGCATTACCATTTGCATTGTGAATCACATGTGCATGTTGAGCCATCTTGCTTGTAGGATAAGATTGTAAAACTCATTTTCTCCATATTCATTAGCCCATTTTGTATTAGCATTAAGACTAGATGATATTAGTTTAAATCTATGCATACATAAGATTATGGGTATTTCCCTTGATGTAATATAAGGATTTATAATTCATATTTGGTGGGTGGAAAACTATGCATTCATAATTCACCATAAGCATCATATTTGATGAGTGGAAAACTAGTCTTGCATGGCTCCTTTATTTGCATTAGATTTAGGAATGTATCCATCAAGCAGTGTGATGATTCTCACTCTCAAATTAAGCCATTTAGCCCGCATAAGGTATTGAGTTCATTATATGCATTTCTCTCTAGTTGAGGAAATGCAAAACCTATCTCTATAGTTCCACCCACATTCATCATTAATTTTGAGTTGTTCCCCTCTTTTTTCAGTTTTCTCCTTGTAGATTATAAGATCCACAATTTTAACCTCATCCTTTGTGATGTTGCAAGTCCCTCATTTTTTTAAGCTGTTTCATCCAAAAAGAGAATTGTAGTTGTGCTCTCAGGCATTCTTCTCTTGCTCAGTTCAATTGATCATTTGTCATTCGGACCCTTTGAGGAGTATCATTATCCTCTGCCATTTTCTAATTATCTCTGTTTTTTATGTTGCCTCATCTCTCATCTACTCCCGTGTTTGATTGCCCTTTTGAATCCAAGGCTATTTATGTTATGACTTTTAATTTAGATTTTAACATTGTCATTGCCAGGTCCCAAATACGAAAATGAAGGGTTGTGTTTGGTAGTCAACCCCCAACATAAAATTCTTGTCGAAAAATCATGACATGAATCCTTTAAATCATATGTAAACTCAGTAGAAGATAATAGAGAAAAATGATTCATGTAGCCGACCCCACTTAGTGGGATAGAGGCTTGTTACATCAGCAATATTAAGAACTGATTGTGTTCTTAATGCAATTATCTCATGCTCAGTGACCAATTTGTCATTTTGAACCATTAGTGAGTGAACGTTTTGCTTGCATATTTGCATGTTAGGTTGTTTCATCTCTAACGTGCTCCTGTGTTTAATTGCCCCATTTGAATCAGTCTCTCATTGCTGGAATTTCAGCTTATAACACTTTTTATGTTGAATTTAAGATATGGAACTATACTTCTTTAATCAAATGCTTGGTATATAATTAACTATTGTTGGGCCTTGCGCCTCTTGGAAGTGTAGATACTCTGGAAATAAGCCATAGTGGTCTTTTTAAGCATTGAAGGGAAATTTATGAATGTATTTTCAATGTGTCCTTTTGTTTTTTTTACATATTTATATTATAGTATCTTGGTCTTGTTACCCATTAAGGTCTACCCTAACTAGGGATTTGTCAAGCATTTTAAAAGCCCCCACAATTCTTAAGTGTAAATTTTCAAGCATAGTTTATCAACCTATTGTGGAAATAGAAAGCTCAAACGATACTTTGAGTGTTGTTTTTTTTTGTTTTTTGTTTTTTATTTTTATTTTTTTTTTGTCATATCAATTTAATTATGTTATTTTTACACTCTTTTTCATTTTTTAACTATTCTATCTTTAATGAGAATAAAGAGTTGGTTGTCCATATATTTTTAGGGCAACGCTTTTCACATCTTTCAAGTGTAACCCTATTACAAACCTCATTCCAATTATGATTTCAATGTAAGAAATGAGCTAATACCTTTTCTTTTTATGACAAAATGAGGGTTTTTATGGCAAAATAAGATGTTTCTAACAACTAATCATGACACGTTCCACACAAGTGTCATGTGGTACTTAAAACATGTCTTCTCATCGTTATAATCAATAAAAAACACCAATTTCAAGTAAATTTTAAAGGTTAATTTTGGAAGATGGAGTCTTTAGGGGCATTTTGCTTTATTTGTAGGGGTAATTTATGTTGATGCTAACATATCAAATTTGTACTTTTGACTAATCTTGTATTGGTCATGAAGAATACCTTTTTCCATCATTAGTAAAATGCTGATGTTAGTTTTCTCTCATTGTTGATCTCCTTTTTAATTGGCTTCTCCTATCATTTTACACCAATAATTCATCCTTACTCTCCTAGAAATAGACCTCTCTCTCTCTCTCTCTCTCTCTCTCTCTCTCTCTCTCTCTCTCTCTCTATATATATATATATATATATAAAGAATGGTCGAGGACTATTAGACAAGCCCCGACAATCTCGAGGTGTGTTAAATATTCGAGTGTCACGCCCTATGTTGGTTCCAATTTACTGAATCGCTAAAGGACAAATCAAAAAATGAGATTGGACTTTTGGGAATTCTCTTTTTATTATTTTGAAGGAGTGAAAAAATACAAGTCTAGGTGTTTTACAATGCAACACAACACCTAATTTTATACTAACTAAGACATACCGAAACAAAACAGGAAACGTACATAATAAAGGCAAGAAAATTAAGTGTCATCAATTCGCGCCTATTTGAATTGATTACACATATTTGAATTTTGAATTTGAATTTAAGATTCAAATTCCAAATTAATGATATTGCCATATCTCCTATATTTAATTCAAAATTAATGCTATGATCATATCTTCTATATTTGTTCCACTAATTAACTCATGCCTATTATGAAGCCACTAATTATGCAATCAATTCAAATTACCAATTCAAGATTAGTCTCACAAGAACTTCTATTCTCTCTGCCTCATAGAGCAATTTGTCGAGTTTGGCGGTATAGCCAAGTAGTTTTTATCAAGTTTGATGAGAATGTTCTACTAACACGTACGTGTATGGAATATGAACTCATATCGAGGAACTCTCTACAATGGCGGTGCACTTCAAAGGTGCTCTTAGAATCCTTCTATACAATAAGGAATTTTGCAACATGTCAGACTGTTAACCTTCACATATGTGAATCGATTAGTTGTGACTCACATGGTGAATGATGAATATGAAATTACAAGATTAAACATGAAATGCCTTGACGTTACTTTAAATGGTTCCAAACCACGCCCGGAGGATCAAAATTATTTATGAAAAGGACTTCAATGATCAAAACAAATAAGCATGATAAAAATGACATATCGTTGACACGACACATGTTACTAAGGCTCATTGCATCTCAACCATCCTTAAAAACAGACCGTCGTTGTGTCTGAAACTTCTCAACCATCATTGAAATTTGTCAAAAAAAAAAAAAAAAAAAAAAAAAAAAAAGAGTCAGCAAACCTTACAGTGATTCTATAAATGGAGGCACTATAAATGATAACGATAGCCCAGTAGAAATGCGGTGTGAAAGAGATAAAAAAATGAATATCAGAGCTTCTTAAAAAAAAAACTATATCTACAACTATGCAGGCGAATAACTTAGGAAATCGTAGCACAATTCATGGGTTCCAAACATGCAACCGTGGCTCCAAATTCAACTCTGGAGAATTCTAGTGCTTACATCCACTAACTATACGAGAAGGTGTGTTAAAATCACAACTTTGAATAAAATAAAAGCCTCTGAAATATTTATTTTGATTTGTTTGAAATTTTTTTTTAAGTGTTGTGACAGTTCTAATTAAGTATGGGCATGCGTCTAGTGAAATCTCATACACGTTTTTCTTAGCACAACTCCTCCAAGCAAAGCTCCTCACATTCACTCGAAGAATGGTGGGGGAAGAAAGAAATTAAGGAGGAGATAAGATTTTCTTGGTGGAAAATGAAGAAGAAGAGGAAGAAAAAGAGTAAGAGGGCTGTAGGAAGTAAAGCCCTCCCTCTTATCTCTCTTCCAAGCTTTTTATATCAAGGCCTCCAAAAGAAATACCTAGCTCCAAGAAAGAATAAGCTCTAAGCTCTCTAAGGAAGAAGATGGTTTCAGCACCAAAAAGAATAAAATACTGAAGAGTTGTGTCTAGGAGAAGCCAAGGGAGATCCAAAAGCCTTTTGCACCAGCCCCCTTCAAAAATGGTGTTCTCGCCTTTCTAAAACCTTCCCCAAGAAGATAATAGAGTATTCCATTCATCCTTTTTGCCTCTCACTGTGTAAATCTCCTTGAAGAACAAGAAACCTACAATATTTGTTGCCGTAGGGCTGGGTTCGGTGTCAAAATCAAGAAATTCGCGAGATAAAATCCGGTCTAAAATTTGGACTGGCTTTTGAGTGTCGCATATTTTCTGTTGGCTCTATTTTGAAGCTCCAAGGGGATAGCTCCCTAGACTAGCTCCTAGGTGTCGGGACCGGTGCCTATGCTCCAAGGGGTTAGCACATAAGCGACAGTTCTGACTGAAAAAACTCAATTTTTATCTTGAGGGTTTGGCGAAGGATTTTGACGATCTATAAGCTATGGGGGATCAAGTGTGACTAAAATATGGCCCCATAACTCCATAAATGAATGTTTTTATCGGTCGTTCATTGAGAAATTTGTTGTCGATGGTCTCTCTGAAATGTCGCACAAGTATGACATTTAAACCCTAATATTTTCGAAAATACCCACGAGAATATTCGACGGATTCCTTTGACCATAGGATGCTCTGAATAGTCGGAGTAAGGTCTTCATACATTAGAACGGATACCAGAGACATCCCATATCATAACTGACGCCACCAAACAGAGGACTCTCTCGGGCAAGGCTGAGTCATCACAGACTTTGGAATGTTGGTTCCAATTTACTGGATCGCTAAAGGACAAATCGAAAAATGAGATTGGACTTTTGGGAATTCTCTTTTTATTATTTTGAAGGAGTGAAAAAATACAAGTCTAGGTGTTTTACAATGCAACACAACACCTAATTTTATACTAACTAAGAC